CACTGGGCAGAGCTATGAAATATATGCATGTAAACACATGTGTGCATGCACATGAAGAACTTCAAAGCATTTACTCCTTTGTTCAGTCCAATAATACACCTAAAATAGCTTCGTAATTGCTTTGCCTGTAACACTACAAAAAAAGCCAACTAAACTGAGTATAAGGTGTGTTTTCAGCCCCTTCTATCCCAACACTGCCCAAGACTACTAAGTGTAAACAGTCAAATTCTGTGTTCATAAATGACTTGGATTAGTTCTTTCTGCCCGACCCCGCCAGGGGTTGTGTTTATCATGCTCATTTAAAATACAGTTGGATTAATTTATTTCAATCCACTTCTCGTTTTAGCTTTCCCCAGACTTCCCATCCCTGTTAACTCAATTTTACTTTTTCAGGTATGTAGAAAAAGTATATACTTACCAATGTAGAAATTATGCAAAACAGTATATACCCTGAGAATTATCAGCCTCTGCCATATCCTTATGCCCAGTCACCACCACCCAGGACCTCACCATGTAGAAAAACAACTTCATTACATTCCTGTCTGGTTGCCCCACATCTCTTTTTGTAAAGATAGGCAGATTTATGTGTCCTCCTTTTTTAAGTGCCCAGATCCCACTGATCTTCCAACTCTTGTGAATTTGTTCGTGGTCTTCCCATTTCACTGATGAGGAAGCAGGTTCTTCATCCGTACTGTTGATAAATGGCCTGTTTTCACTGCACATAGTTGGGATGAAGCTGATTAAGATACCCCAAGTCACAAAACATCGAGGTGGTGGCTTGCAGTTTTTAATCCATGCAGTTGCTGCCTCACCAACACAAAGTCCTGGCTCTGGGAAGACTACCTCTTCGTTTGCTTTTTAAGGCTGGGTTGTCCTTTTAGAATTTGCTGTCCTCTTGGTGTACCATAAAGGCTTAAATCAAGATCTGAGACCCGCTTTTTGTTTTTTAAATTCAGGTGAAATTCACATAAAATTAACCATTTTAATGTGTGCAAATCTGTGGTACTTAACTATATTCAAGATGTTGTGCAACCATCACCTCTATCCAGTTCCAAAATATTTTCATCACCCCCAAAGGAGACCCTGTAACTGTTGAGCAGTCACTCCCTACTTCCCCATTTCCCCTCAGTGCTTGATAACCATTGATCTGCTTTCTAATTCTATGGACATATCTATTTTGGATATTTCATATAAATGGAATCATATAATATGGGACCTTTTGTGTCTAACTTCTCTTAGCATGGTATTTCCAAGGTTCATCCACATTGTAGTATGCATCATATACTTCATTCCTTTTTATGGCTGAATAATATTTTGTTGTATAGATATACCACCTTCGTTTATCCATTCACCAGCTAATGGGCATTGGGGAGTGTTTTGAGTGACGTTGGGAGAAGAATAGTAGGTTCCCTGCCCTGCTATAGTACTTACGAACCGTGCAACCATGGACGAGCTCCTCAACTGGCTTCTGCCTCACTTTCTTCATTTGTTAAATGAAGATAATAATGATATGTAACTCTGCCAGTGGTTGAAAGATGGAATAAGATGATACATGAGTTGATAGTGTAGTACCTGGCAGATAATGAGCCCTCATAAACATTAGCTATTCTACTGTGGGATCATACAAAGAGGGGGGGGGTAGGTGTGGGGAGAGAGAATACAAATTTGTGTAATAGTAGGTGTTTTAATATGTGTTTATCTTGTTGTGGCTGCTCAAACCTCTGTGCTTTATTCAAAAAAGAAAAAGGCCTACTTGCTGTGCGGTTTGGTGTTTTTGCCCCCCTACCCACCCTCCACCAATCACTGAACATGGGACTTTACATTCAGAAGCCCTTCACCAGACAGAATGTCTGTAGTGGAATGTTACATAATTCACATTTAGATTTGAAGAGCTCATTATAAAAAACCTGACACACTTCAGGAATATTAAATTACTGCAGATTGTGTGGAGCAAAGAAACATTATTGAAGCATTTCAAAATTCTAGGCGAGCCTGAATTTAACTGATAGGGTTTCACAGCTTTTATGGGGGAAAAATTATTTGAGTTGTCACATGGTTTCTGGCCCTGGAGGACTTTAATCTCCTTAATTACAAAGAAACGAATTTCCTAAATAATTTGGAGTTATTTCACAGCATTTGCTCAACCTCTGGCTTTTGGAAAATTAAAGGGGGTGACAGGGTCTGGGCCACAGTATGTTCTTCCTGTACTGCAGCTTCCTTATTTTCATTTTTATTTGAATGATGCTGGTTTCCTCTCATTATTGATATAGGGATGTACTTTAGACATTTGCAAGTAATGCTTGTAACACTTGAACACAATAAAATTTTGTGTAACAAGTATTGTGGGAGATACCCACAGAATAGGGAGAGGTGCTGTGTTGTGGTTCATAAAGTTGAAGGCAAGAAAGTGGCCCCAATCCAGTCCAGTTTAATACACTGAATTTTGAGAGTGCTTGAAATTGCATAATATCTATGCATTTCTTCTTATTTCAGTGTTTATGGATTAGGTACCTACTGTGTATAAGACCAGCATGCAGGATGGAAATACCTTAGATTCTATCACTCCATACAGTTTGTCTTCAGAAAGCAGACTTAACTTGCCTTGATTTCTGCCTCAGTAATGGGAGGATAATATGGACTTGTGGTCACATACCAGCCATGTTATTTTGAGCAATTAAAACGGGAAACTGTTAGTGCCTTATACTTATTAAATGCTTTCCAAGAGGTATGCCAGATCCTCTTCCAAGCGTGTGACACCTGCGATCTCACTGGATTTCCACTGGGGCACCATGATGTTGGTGCTGTTAACCACTGCGCAGATAGAGAATTGGAGGCAAAGAGATGAGTTATTTCTTCAATATCAAATTGCTTATAAATGGCTGAAACTATGAAGTTAGCCAAAAAGCAGATCGTTATATAGGGAGAGATTCTACTTAATAGAGGATCGGAACATCTTTCTGTCTGAGATACCTTTGAACTGAACCTAGATGGGTCAGTAGAATGTCAAGGAAGATTTGAGAAGAAAGCCCATTAAATGTAAAAGGACAAGAAAAGTTGGGAAGATGAGACAGTGTATCACCTCTCTGCTCGTTTGGCTATTATTTCAAGGTTTCATGCCTTTGCATATGCTGGTCCTTCCACGTGAAGCAACTTTTAATTATTGGCTAAACATGTATGTATTGAGTAAACATGGGTCTTTCCCTTATCATCCACTTGACTGAAGCATCATCCTTTAAGATCCCCCAGCGTAGGGCTTCTCCTCTGTGAAGCTTTATTGATTCTTCCAAGCAAACGTGAATACTTGCTCCTTTGTGCCCCAGGATGCCTGGTATTTATCTGTTTTAGTTCTGGTCATATGTATGGCAGTCCCTCACATGACCGATGCCTCTGCTAGGCTGAGCTGCTTTGAGGACAGGGGTCAGGAATCCATACTCTTGGCCAGTGTGATTGCATGCTTACATGTCTGTTGACGTGAATGAGCCAGCATTTGCACCTAGCCCATAGTAGGTTCTTATTTCATTGTGCCAATGAAATAAGTATTGTTAATAAAAATAATCATGTCCGTATATGACCAAGTTTTGTAACTTTCTAAGCTGCCATTGAATGTCGTCTTTTGAAGGGCCTATATGATGGTGCAGATAGATGAGACAAAAGTGGCAGGAAAAGTTCCTATTTTCTACATGTCATTTCATAGACCCTATTCTAGGGAGAGAATTTTCCCTTTTCCTTGTTTATAGCTTTAGATTCCCTAGTTCAAGCACCTCTATTTAGGGCCAGTGTTCTATTTAAAATAATAGCTTGTCCAGAAATAAACAGACCGAGTATATATTTGGATAAGTTGAGGATTTCTTCATTATTGTCTTACTACACTTTTATGTGGCCTTTATATTAGACCTTCTAGTTAATCCATCGTTAATTGTCACAATTAAGAGATTTGGATCACTATTGTTTTTGAGCGGAAACTGTTATTCAGGGTTGGCCTATTTAGATCAAACAGTTCTGGATCTGTGGATGAGCTAAGAATTGGCTACACAGTTTACAGCTCCATTTCCAGGAGCTTTATCTTAATATTCTTAAAAAATGGATAACTAGAGATATGTTTATTTTTAACTGAACTCTCCAATGTAAGTGTCAGAAAGTCACTAGGAAAGACTGTTGACTTGACATAGGGAATATGTTCATTCAATTTAAATGAAAGCGAATGAGATAATGTATATGGAGCAGTAGCTGAGGGCATAGTGTATAGTAAGTGCATAGTAAATACTAGCTGTAATTGAAGTGGTTGTATTATCATTATTATCATTATGTTCTCTTCCCAGCACAGTGTCTGAACTTAATAGTACCTAGCAATGTGCAATGCATATTTATTAAAGAAAGAATGAATGAAATGTTTGTCCGCCTGCTTCTTTTCTGTTTCTCCTCACATTAAATGCTTGTCTGCTCATATAGCTGGGGGGAAAGCTGACATAAAAATTGGCTTGCTGGAAAGTATCTCAGCCCCATTTGTCACCTTACCCTTGGAGCCCAATTGTATGTCAACTCCATGTCCCCTCCGATGCCTGCTGGTGAGGGACAGACCACAGGTCACCTGCCTATGATCTGCTTTAGCTGCCAAGGCTCTGATCAAGCTTGGCTGATGGATGGGTGCCCTACTGTTGGAAATGTCTCCACGGGGCTGCTTAGGAAATATGCCTTTGCTCTGTTTCCTGGGTGGCATCTAGTGCTTGAAAATAAGAAACAGAGAAAACAAAGAGTTGGGTTTTGCCCTCTGGAAAATGCAGAGGTTTAAACATCTGTTTTAAGTGAGGTACCTAGTTTTGCAGGTAGTCTTCTGGCTTCCTTTGCTATAAACCCTGTCAATGGCTTGGTGAAATCATGCGAGGAGTTCATACATGAGATCGAGATTTTCCTTGCTATGTTTGACGGTTCATCTTTTCTCCTTAATTTCTGTTTAACTTCAAAAGTGATGATTCAGAATATTCTCTTTGCTTGTTTTGCAGCACTGGAAAGGAGTGAGTGAAATGTGCAGCTCGGGGTGTTGTTTCTGAGGGAAGGAGTCGTTCCCTGGGAGAGGAGTCCTCGATGAGCCTGGCCGAGGCCCGGGATCTGTGTGAAGTGGACTAAGGATTTAGTAGGATGTCAACTGAGACAGAACTTCAAGTAGCTGTGAAAACCAGCACCAAGAAAGACTCCAGAAAGAAAGGTAGGGCTGAATTTGTTCCTTTCTTCATGGCTGTTTAGCTGTGCAGTCTTTTTTTTATCTCTGGGATGATTTTTAGTACTATCTTTGTGAGTGCATATACATGTTAATACTCACTAGCATTTTTTGGTGTTTTTTATATTCATAGTATATATTTTAATGACTCTCTATTATTCCCCAGGGGAATATGTTATTTTCATAACATATAAAGGCCTTCTTGATACACCTTCTACCCATCCCTCCAGCAACATGTCTTCCTAAGTCCCACCCCCATCCAACCCTGTTTACCCTCCAGGCATTCTGTCGATTGCACTTCACAGGTACTGGTAGTTCTCAAACTCCAGCAGCGTCAAGATTGCTGGGAAAGCTTGTTGAAGCGCAGATTGCTGAGTCTCATCCCCAGAGTTTTGGTTTGGTAGGTCTGGAGGGGGGCCCAAGACTGCATTTATAAGTTGGTAACCCAGATCTGTTGCTGCTCTTGCTTCAGAGACCAGACTTTGAGAACCACTGGACTGTCAATTCATCCTGAAATCATTTAGTTGATCTCCACTTTTTTTGAGACTGACTCCTACTTATTTTTCATGCTTGGCCTTAGTGTGACCTCCCAGTGGTGTTGCGAGGTGGTGGTTCCTTACATTCCAAACTGGGTTAGTAGCTTTGTTTTTCTGCAGTAGCACTTTGTTAGTATCTCATTTTATTAAACATTTCCTGTGTTTTTGTTTGTCAATTATATTATACATTCCTTCAGAATTGGACCTTTTGCTCACCCTTTAATTCCTAACACTTAGAAAATACTTGACCCAGAGAAGGCACAAAGATACCTGTTAATGAAGACTGGCAGGCATAATGTGATAATAAAATAATTCTATCCCATTCATGTTTTCTGGAGAATTTGGTGCTGTGGCTTTATGATCATGCCTTTCAGTATATTTGGCCCCCTGTTGTAATTACATGTAAGCAACTCCTTGCTCTGTGTGTGTGTGTGTGTGTGTGTGTCTGTGCGTGTGTGTTTTCTCCCTGTGGTTTCAGCCCTTTCCTTCCCTTGTCTTCTCAGTTGCATGGAAGAGGATTAATAGAACTCTCTTTCAGGTCCTGAAATCTGTCAATGTGGCTTGCAAACCACGGTGCCCTTGGTTGCATTGTGTAGGCAGTGATTTGTTTGAGACATCGCTTTGCCTGCCCAGTCATGTTTTGTGATAGTGTTTGTCTGACACTCTATAGGAGGAAGCAAGGGACATAAATATAATACATATGCAGCTCTTGGACAGCCAAAAATCCAGGAAGGACTATAAATTTTGCTTTGGATGTTTATTTGACACAAAACATATTTTGGAAGCAGTCTATTTTATTCCCTAAAACTTAATGCAAACCTTTCTTTTTATGCATCATGGTTTAAGAATAATAGAAGGAAAGCAAGTGGATGAGAGAACAGGTCTTAGGAGAACCATCGCATGGCGAAAAAAAGAGATTGCAGAGCCCAATATATACTAGAATTCAAGTGCTTTTTCAGTTAAACTGGCAAGTTGTATTTTTGCTTCAAATTTAACCTTTCCACTAAACTTGTGTTGTTGAATGTTTAATGCATTAAAAATTATATCTTACTAAAATATCTTTTCATTCTTAATTTTAACGTGCAAAACCAGAAGCATTTTAAAGAGAGGATTTAGGATTTTAGAACCTTGGCTTAGTTGACGATTTGGAATGGGAGTGTGAAGGTGACCTTTTTTTAGAACTTCGTCATCTTCATGTCCTAAGAAATTCTAAAATCAGCACAATACATAGGCAAAGAGTATCCTCCAGTGAGGGGCTAATACCATGGAGTCCGGACAGGCAGACCTTGGTTAAAATTCTAGCTATGTCACTTCCTAACTATGTGACTTTAGGACATTGCCTAAACTCTCTGAGCCTCAGTTTCCTCTTCTCTAAAATGAGGATATATATCAAGGTTTATTTTGAAGAATAATTGAAATATGGCAAATAAAACAGTATAGTCCTTGGTATATATTAAAGGCTCAATGGTTTATCTGTGTTCTTCCTATTTTTCTTTCTTCCATTTCCCCTCCTCCTGCTCTCCGTACTTCATCTCATCCCTTTCCTTCCCGGTCAGAGTCTCCATTTCTCTTCTCTCTCTCCTTTTCTGTTTCTCTTCTTCTATTTCTACCCCTTCCTCCTCCTCTTTTTCATCATCATCATCATCGTTATTTTGATTTCTCTTATCCTATTTAAGAGCTGAAGTGCTTAGAAAGTATATAGCTGATTTGTTCCAGAGCAAGATTTTACAAGTGTTCGTAGTTATGCAGGAGTGATAAATAACCATTATTCTTGATATACTTTCCTGGACCAAGGCACCGTGAAAGCACTCGTGTACACTGCAAAGGAAAAGAAAATACACTAGTAACAGATCAGTTTATTTCTTATTCTTTAATTTTTACTGTGGTATACTAAGTATTCCATTAAACAAATATTGCTAACTGGGCTAAAATAAGTAGAACTTTAAAAGGAAATACAGTTTACGTACTGATCTGAACTCTTGTTGTTACTAAGCTTTTTTGCTAACACTTTCTCCACTCCTCTTTGATTTTTTTTTAATGGAGGTAATATTTAACCTCATAAGGAAGTTTTTGTCATTCTGTCCAATCCTTAAGTATTTTTTTTTCTTGTCTTAATGCATTAGCTAGGTCTCTCAGTAGAATATTTAGTAATAGTAGGTATCCTTAACTTGTTCTTTAATTCATAGAAATGCTTCTAAATTACCTACTTGGTATTTAAATTTTTACTAAAGATTCTTTATTAGTTCCCCTTCATTTATAATTTCTAGGAAGTATTTTTTGAATCTTGAATTTACACATCTAATTTTATCATGCTTTTTTTATATTAATTTCAATGATTATACATATTTTTCCTCTTAATTTATGTTGTGATAGATTTCACTGATACATCTTCTAATCTTCATTTCTGATGTAAATCATTAGTTGTTGATAATGTATTTCTATATGTTGATGTGATTTGATATTTTACTTAGGATTTTGATACCTTTATTCATCAGCAAGATTGGTATATAATTCTACTTTCTAGAACAATCTTTGTGCCTGGTATTAGTGAAAGTTTATAATCTCAAATAATGATTTTGGTGGTAAGGAAACAATAATGTTTAGGCTTCTTTCTAGAAAAAAAATTCTCTTTTTTTAGTTATTTCATTTGACTTTTTAAAAGCTATATATACTTACTACTGAAAATTAGACAAGAAAAAGAAAGCATGCATAATCCCATAAATCAAAAATAACTATTAACATTCTAAGTTACTTCCTTTTGGACTCACTTTTCAGGATGATCTGTGCTTGAGATGATAACATGCATACAGTTTTATATCCTGCTTTGTTATTTGACATTGTATTTTAAGTACCTTTTCCATATTACTACATGAGATTACAGTCTAGAAGAGATTTTTCCCCTTGGCAAGATTTAGCTGGTTCCTGGGGCTGATACTTTATTTGCTAAAAAGGAATACCATTTCATTTGCTAAAAAGGAATACCTGACAATGTGGCTCATCTACTGTGAGTGAGAATGACATTAAGAAGGTTAAGAGGCCTTTTACAATTTCTTATAAACCTATCACTCCCATCCTTAACCCAGAATGCTAAAAGCAGACTGTTGAAAGCAAGTCAGATGATTTCAAACACAAATCACACAGGGGCATATTTCACCATAAAATGAGTTTATGATATGTAACTAGAGTATTCACAATTCAAATAAGGAAGGAATGAAAGTAGTGAGAAATAAAGTTGTTTTCTTCATTTCATTTGTGTTGGATTGTGTCACTACACATGCGGCCTGTCACATGCTGCCTATTCCAGGAGTGGAATTTGATGGAGGACCAGAGGAAGAAGATGTATGTTTTTGGTTTGTTACCTGCCATCAAAGGGGGAGAACAGTTGACCCAGTTTCTGCTACTTTTAATCCTGACATTAGGCCACCCAGGAGAAGATTGAGCTAGAGGAATGGGTCCCAGGATGAGCAGATGCAGATATTTCTGGAAGCGGTGCCTGGAGTTTTTTAGTTAGTGCTGTCTGGCAGCTTAGTATAAAGGAAAGAACACTAACTTCAGAGCTGGATGGACCTGGTTTTTAATTCCAGCTCTTCTCCTTATCTGCTCTTTAACCAGAAATGGGTTATTTAGCTTCTTTGAGCCTTAAGTGTGTGTGTGTGCGTGTGTGTGTGAATAATATGTCATCAGAAGGGTGAGGGAGATTTCATGGGCAAAGGGTCAGTTTGGGATCTGCTGAATGGCAGCAGCTTGGTCAGTATTAGCTTTTCTGCTCTTTTCCTTCTGAGATCACAGATAAGAATTATCTCCTGATTTTCTAGAGATACCTGGAAATAAACTTACTTTCCTTATATTTACATTAGAGCTACACGCCAAGATCACTAGTTAGCAAACCAACAAAAACAAAATGCTGCCTTAGTAATTTCTTCTCAGAAAGATTTGGCTCCAGGAATCAAGACTATGAGGGGATCCAGGAGAAATCCAGGGGTCACAAGAGATAACCTCAGCTTTGGAACCATGTCAAACTGAGTTTGAACCCTGTCTGTGTGCCTTAGTAGATGTGTGAACTTTTGGTAGGTTTCTTAGAACATTCTGTTTAATTTTGGTTAAGGAATGGCTTCAATAATGCCATACTCAGTGTCCTAATCCCACAGCTGGCCAATTACCCTGGAAAATAACCTCTGTTAACACGGGTTTCCCACTTAGGAGCTTATAAGGTGCTGTCAGATTCATTATCCCATTGGATAATGGGATAATGTGTCCTAAGGCCCCTGGGGGGTTAATTTTTAAAAAAATCTTTTTATCAGGCCTATGGTACAGAGCTGCTATTTCATCTCTCTACTGCTCTGGTCCTGCAGAGGAGGCAGCCTGGGTCAGCCGAGATACTGGATCTGGGCTCATCCCTCAGGCCAGCCTCTCCCCGTCACAACACTCTCTCAAGCCACACCCGTTTTGGAT